TTTGCTGTTTCCTTCTATGTCGCAACTGCCATCTCAGTGATCTGAAAGTCTCTTGGAGGAAGTTCACTGGGATTAACTGGAATTTTCCTGGAGATGATGGATTGATATCTAATTCATAGCAGCACTATGCAGAGAGTGACAAATGTCTCTTCAGGGAAGACAATGATGGAGAGCTTTCATTTTTGCCCCCCGCAAAAAAAAATTGGAGAAGGGGGTTGTGTTCTAATCATAGTATATGGCATCACATACTAATTATTTTTCATATAAACATGTGATATAGAAATAGGCATATAGCATTATTAGAGCTATTATTTTATGCTTATATGTGAGAACTGCCCTATAATGTTATCTGTGAGATTCATGTCATCTGTAGGTCTGACCACCTGATATAGAAACTAAACCCCCTTTCTTGAGGCTCAAAACTGTTCTTCCTTACACTGAGTTTTGTTACATCAGGGTTATGGTGAAATTATATATATTGTATAAATGTATACAGTAGGTAGCTAGGTAGAACAATGGATAGAGCACTGGATCTGGAGTTTGGAAGATCTGAATTCAAATCCAGCCTCAGACACTTACTAGTTGTGCCCTTGAACATATCACTTAACTTCTGTTTGCCTCAGTTTCCTTATCTGTAAAATGAGGATAACAGCACCTACCTCCCAGAATTACAGCGAGGATCAAAGAAGATATTTGTAATGTACTTAGCACAGCGTCTAACACATAGTAGGCACTTTATAAATGCTATTTGTGATGAGGAAATTCCTTAAATTTTAAGATCTCACCTTCACCTCCCAACACTATCACATTGGACCTTTTTATTTCTGTAATAAAAACTATTTTGAGAGGATTTTCCCAGAATGTCAGAATTGAAAGGGATTGGGGCAGGTGGCGCAGTGGATAGAGCACCGGCCCGAAAGTCAGGAGGACCTGAGTTCAAATCCGACCTCAGATCAAACACTTCACACTTACTAGCTATGTGATTCTGGGCATGTCACTTAACCCCAAGTGCCTAAAAAAAAAAATTTTGAAAGGGATCTTTGAGATCGTGAGGCCAGCCTTCTAATTTTACAGATAATAAAACTGAGGTTAGGCAACCTGCGTAAGCTAAGTGGCAGAGCCAGAATTCCAGGCGTTTGTGTTCTGACTCTCGGGGTGAGTGTTCTTTCCACCATTTCACGCTGCCTCCTTCTCTCTAAATCAGATTGCGGCTCTCCCTAGGAGGTGTTTCACCTCCTCCCCCCCACAAATGAATCCATGTGCTCAGAGGAATGATTTATATCATACAGCCTGTCACCTGCTGCTTTGACAGCAGCCATCAGAGTAGGGAGATGTGGGAGAAGCAGAGGGAAATTGCACAGAAGAAATTCGTTTTTTGACAGATTTCATTGTACTTAACATTCTGGCACTAAGTGAGAGCTCTAATGCTACCATTGCCTCTTTTCTCCTTCTGAAAGTGGGTTTGGGAAGGACTGGAGGGTGGTACTTGGGGGGAGACCAGAAGAGGTTAAGAATTTTAACTTAGGAGTTCAGAAATACAGATAAATTATTATTCCTGGTAACAACTCTGAAATGTTATGGGCCTTCCTGAAAGGATGGTGCAGCTCTTTAAGGCTGCTCCATTTCTGCCCATCCCACACCCCCTGAATCTGTATAATTTCCACTTAGAACAGGTCATACAGCTAACATCACAGGAGTCTGCAGGCTAGCGCCATAGTCTTGGTGATTGAGCACTATACATAAACGGAGTCAGGGTTCAATTATGGCCTCTCACGCTTATGGTGAGACCTTGGGGAAGTCACTTAACCTCTCCAGGACTCAGTTCCCTCACCTTTAAAAGGGATATAATAAAAGCAGCTACCTTCCTGGGTTGTTGTGAGGATCAAGTGAGAAAATATTTGTAAAACACTTGGTAGGCACTATATAAATACTATATTGTAATTATTATTGTTATCTGTAAAATGAGAGGGTTGAACTCAATGACCTAAGGGTCTTTACAGCTCTAAATTTATAATCCTATGATTGTGCAGAGAGGATTTAGATGGATTTGGACAAATATTCTCATGCATATGTACTGTGTGATAGCTGACGGTGCCCTGAGCCTTCTCTTCTCTCTCTGTACTCTATCATGGTCATCTCATTAGCACCCATGGATTCAACTATCATCTCTATGCAAATGACTCCAAAACGTACATATCCAGCCCTCCCCAATCTCCAATCCCACTTCTCCAAATGCCAGCTGGACATCTCTACCTAGAGATTCCATAGCCATTCTCCAGATTCAGCATGTGCAAAAAAAAAATCATTACAGGTACCACCCTTCATTCAGTCCCCTAGGTTTGTGACCTTAGAGTCATCCTGAACATTTTTTATTGTTCAGTCCTATCCAACTCTTCAAGGTCCCATTTGGGGTTTTCTTGGCCAAGATACTGAAGTAGTTCACCACTTTCTTCTCCAGCTCATTTTACAGATGAGGAAACTGAGGCAAACAGGGTTAAGTGACCTCCCCAGGGTCACACAGCTAGTAAGTATCTGAAGCTGGATTTGAACTCAGGAAGATGAGTCTTCCTGATTCCCAGCCCAATGCTCCATCCACAGAGCCACTTAGCTCCTTAATACTTTATTTTCACTTAACTTCCACACCCAGTCAGTCGTCAACTGTATCTCAACACTACCTTTTACATCCAACCCCTTCACTCCACTCACACAGTCATGACCTAATTCAGGCCCTCATCTCCTCTTGTCTAAATACTTATAAAAGCCTACTAATTAATCTTTATGCCTATAATCTTCCCCCTCTCCAATCCATCTTCCACGCAGTTGCTAAATTGACATTTCCAAAGCATAAGTCTGACCACATCCCTCTTCTTGCACAAGAAGCTCAATTGTACCTCTAGGACATAATACAGAGCTCTGTAAGCTCCCTGAGGGCAGGGACGACCTTGAATGTATCTATATATAAGTATGTATATGATATAGATATTTCCTACTATAAGTAGGTTTACATGTTAGCAATGACAATATGATGTACCTTAAATTTTAAGGTTCCCCTATCAACCTCCCAATACTATCACACAGATTTTTTTGTTCCTATAATAATAAAATTATTTTGAGAGGATTTTTCCATAATGTCAGAATTAAAATAGATCTCATGAGCCAACCCTCTAAAAAAATACACACATATATACATATTGTGTATACATATTTAAAATATACACACATATATTGTGTTTACATATACAATATGTCATACATATTGACACACACACATATCACTGTACCTGGCACATATTAATTGTTTAATAAATGCTCACTAATTGATTTAGTACTGTGGCTTTAAATGAAGAGCATTTTCAGCAAGCTTCTGGAGACTATATAATGGTGTTTTGAATCTGCACATATATTATGCAACCCTAGAGGAACTGGCCATGTAATATTGAGGGACTCCATGAAAAAAGATATAGCCCTGGGCAGAGGAAGTGGGGGAAAGCCAGGTAGGACCTTTTTTCTTTTTGCCATGATTGTCCCAATTCTGACAAGCCAAATCTGAACAGGACTTTGGAATCCAAGGTGGCTTGGAAAGTTATGTTCTCTCTTTCTCTGGTTTCTTTTTTTTTTCTCTCATTCTAATCTTGGGAGAGGCAGCTGAGGCATGCCAAGCAAATGAGGACAGTGAGGGTGTAGTTTTGTAAACGGATGAACTAACACTGCGGAAAGTGGCCATAGGTGGTAGTTGCAAGAAATAGTTAAGAGCTCTTCTGCCTCTCTGCCAGTGACTGCCTGGGAGACTCTGGCTGTTCTGGGAGGCTGGAAGAACAGCCTGTCACCTGCCTGTACCTCTAGCAGTGAAGAGCAACTGAACTGCCTTCTGAGTAAGGACAAGGGCAGGACATTATTATCATTAAACTGCTTGCTGGAATCATAAGACACTTATCAGTTGGGAGAGCATTTTTATGTTTTGATTAGCAGCCATCAGGAGAGAGTTATCATCACCACTTTTCCTGAGAAACTGAGAAAACAGTGTATGAAAATTGTTTTTTTTTAGTTGGCAAAAAACAAAAACAACAGTAATTATTCCCGCTATTTATGTATCACTTTAAGATTTTCCAAAGTGATACATTATCTCATTTGATTCTCACAATGACCACATGAAGTACTACAAGGCTTTATGATGCCCATTTTACAGAGGAAGAAACTGAAGCTGAGGGAAGTTATATGCCTTGCCTAGAGTAGCTGGGAAAGTAGGAGGTAGAATTGCTGCCCAAGTCTTTCTGACTCTAAGTCCAATCCTCTAGCCTCCGTGCCAGAGAAGATCCTAAAGAATAAATTTGCTAACAGTAATGTCAGGTTTAACTAACTATAATAACATGAACATGCTAGTTAGCTATTTGTTGTTGTTCAGTCATGCCCAATTCTTTGTGACCTCATGGACCACAGCATGCCAATGACGTTTTATTGGCAAATATACTGGAATGGTTGGCCACTTCCTTCTTCTATGGATTAAACAGAGAATTAAGTGACTTGCCCCATGTCACACAGCTAGTAAGTGTCCGAGACCACACTAGAACTCAGGTCTTCCTGACTCCAGGCCCAGTGCTCTATCTACTGAGCCACCTAACTGCCTGGTTAGCTGTAACAGGTATTAAATTCCCAAATAACAACACCCAGCTTTCTTCCAATAGATCTAAACGAGCTCTTGTTAACAATGAGCTCTGGAGAGAACTGGCAGAATCTGGGATGTAGTCAGGAAAACACAGAAGTTGGGAAATTTTGTCCTAAGTAGATCCTTTAACCTAAATGAATTACAAGGAAGAAGAAAAAGAGCTTAGACTATGTTTGATGGGCCTGCTCTTTCTTTCTCTCCCTTTCTTTTTCTTTTTCTTTCTTTCTTTCTCTTTTTCTTTCTTTCTTTCTTTCTTTCTTTCTTTCTTTCTTTCTTTCTTTCTTTCTTTCTTTCTTTCTTTCTTTCTTTCTTTCTTTCTTTCTTTCTTTCTTTCTTTCTTTCCTTCTTCTTTTCATCTGCCCAGGGGGTATAGAGGCTGGATAGTATAATATATGGACTCAGCATTCTTGACTCCCGAGCCCAGGCTCACCATGATTGAGTGGTTGACTATCTGTAAGGCTGTGAGCCAAACATTGCCCTTCTTTCTATACATGCTACCCCCCCCCCCCAATTCAGTCTAAGGCACAGGTCTTAAATGAAGCATTGTCTCGGGGAATTTCAGTAACAAAACACTCTTGTGACACCCAAACAAATTTGTCTGGGCATCAATAAGCCTCATTAAAGAGGTAATTGCAGCAGTGGAATTGTTTATCTAATTAATGTTCCAGAACTAACAGAGGCAGCCCCAAGAATACTCAGAAATCATACCAAGCCCATACAAGGGGGTTTGCCCTCTCTAGGAACCACTCCATAAATCTCGAGAGCAGAGCTCAAATTTTGCATTCATTTGGTTTCTGTTTATGGATCTTTAGACTGCTGGGGATTTCCTGAATCTGACTGGGGTGGTCTAAAAGGCTAAACTCTGGGACCCACAAACCTTTGGGGTCATCCTCAATTTAGACCCTCACTTGTGCCAGACAATGAGTGCATCTGGCTTTGTCAACTCCTTTGTCATCTGATCCTCTGATTCTTCTCAGGGTCTTTCTTTGGGCTCCCAACTTGAGCTGAAGAATGAAAAATCTGGCGGTGGACCCTTCAAATAAATTCAACAATTCCCTGGATGCCTTTGAACAATGTGGCAAAGAAACACCCTTGGAAAATGTTCTTTTTGCCTCCTTCTATCTTCTGGATTTCATCCTGGCCTTTGTTGGCAATACTCTTGCCCTCTGGCTCTTTATCCGGGACCGAAAGTCGGGCACCCCCGCCAACGTTTTTCTGATGCATCTCGCTGTGGCCGATTTGTCGTTTGTGCTGGTGCTTCCCACCCGACTTGTGTATCACTTTTCTGGAAACCACTGGCCATTTGGGGAAGTCCCATGCCGCCTTACCGGGTTCCTCTTCTACGTCAACATGTACGCCAGCATCTACTTCCTCACATGCATCAGCGTTGACCGCTTCCTCGCCATCGTGCACCCCATCAAGTCCATCAAACTCCGCAGGCCTCTCTACGCCCACCTGGCCTGCGCCTTCCTCTGGGTGGTGGTGGCCGTGGCCATGGCCCCGCTGCTGGTCAGTGCACAGACGGCGGAGGTGAACAGCACGACCGTGTGCCTACAGCTCTACCGGGAGAAGGCCTCACGCAATGCTCTTGTGTCCTTGGCCGTGGCATTTACCTTCCCCTTTGTCACCACCGTCACCTGCTATTTGCTGATCATTCGGAATTTGCGCAGCGGCCACCGGGTGGAGAAACACCTCAAGGACAAAGCCATTAAGATGATCATCATGGTGCTCATGATCTTCCTGGTGTGCTTCGTGCCGTACCACATCAACCGATACATCTATGTCCTGCAGTACGACGGCACCCGGGCCTCTTGTGAGGCCCAGCGGGTCCTGGCCCTCAGTAACCGCATCACGTCCTGCCTCACTAGCCTCAATGGCGCCCTGGACCCCGTCATGTATTTTTTTGTGGCTGAAAAGTTTCGTGATGCTTTGTGTAACTTGCTTTGTGGCAAAAGGGCCATGACCCTGCCACCAAGTTTTGAGGGAAAGACAAATGAAAGCTCCATAAGTGCTAAATCTGAACTGTGAAAGAGACATCCAGATTTAAAATGCTGCCTCTCTGGGTTGATTACATATGCCTCAGTGGCAGACTGTCTTCCTGTGCAGAGATCTTCCATTGGAGGGCACTTCTCCATATGTCAAAGTAGAAGAATCCAGCTTCTTCCACACAACCACATCCAACCACCCACTTACTGAGAAAACAGACTCAAATATTGGCAGACCACTAATATCCCACTTGGACACCTGAACAGTAGCTTCACCTGTTGCTCAGTTTCTAACAAGCTCTTACATTTCTGAAAAGCAAGGACTAACATGTAATCAAACCAAGACACCTTCCCCCTCAGAAGAAAAATTTTCAGCTATGCTTATTTACTGTTACTAGATACCCTAATGATCTCAGTCAAGATAAAGGGAGGAGGGACATGAAAATTGAAGAACAATGAAAGCCTTTCTCTAAGCTCAATGCTGACTGCTAAGCTACTGACCTCCTATTATGTTAAGGCAAGAGTGGGGGAGGTTATTCTCCAAAGAATCCAAGAAAATGATCCGAAAATTGCTTGAGTGAAAGAGAGAGTTCCTTTAAATGTCTGCTTTGATGTCTGGGGGAATGAGGGTGGGGGAGGGAGTGGTGGGGAGGGAGGGAAGAAATGCACATTATCAGGTCCTTGATTATAGACATCACCAGCTTAGTTTAGTCAACACAGTGATGTGGACTATACTTGGCGGGTGATTACAGCTGGACCCATGGAGACCAAGACCCCAGCCTAAACCAGTGGGAAACAACTTTTATCTCTGTTCCAGAGATTTCCTGAGCTAATTTTTTTTAAAAAGCTCCTAAAAATTCTTCTTTTTAAAACTTGTTCTGACAATCTCTTTACAATTTCCCAACATGTGTCCTGTACCTCATGTAAGGGCCTGCAGCTGGCCTGACCATCTTGCTTGAGACCTGAACAGGGGAGCAAAGCCATGGCATGGATCATGGATGCCTTCAATAGCATGCACCCTCACTTCCTTTTGACATCAAGGCCATGAAATCCATGGGCTCTATCAGCAAAACCAAGCAACCCTACCCAGCATGCCTCTTTCCTGCCCCTGGAGATCCCCAAGTGAACCCAAGGGAATCTGTGCACCCTCCACATTGTGTCCTACCTGTTAAATTCACCCCTTTGCCTTCCATTTGTACAGTGATCTTTTTTTTTTTGTGTCTGTATATGCTGATTATAAATATGCATAGTTTTTTAAATGTGAAGCTGTATCATGTTGTTTTAACAAAATTTCTCTCTTCCCTTTACTAGCTACCAGGAAATCTCCTTTGCCCTTCTTCTACCCCTTCAACTAATGGACTTCATGGGGATCCTTACATCTCATCTCAGATTTCTTCTTACTAGTTCTAGTCACCATGGTTTCCCAATTCAAAGTGTGACATTTTCCTAGGGTTGTATTCTTGTGCCTAACCCTTAAGCCAGTACTCCCATCCCTTTTTCCTTCCCATCACACTAATACTTTCCTTTCCTTCACATACTCTTCAAACCAGTTACAATGGCCTCCTGGCTATTCCACAAACAGGACACTCCAACTCAGCTCCGACATTTTCTCTGGCTGCTCCCATACCTGACTTCTCTGGTTTCCTTTAAATCCCAATTAAAATCCCTTTTTTTTTTCAGGAAGCTTTCTCAACCCCTCTTAATCCTACGCCTATGTTAATTATTTTCTTTTTATCCTGTACATAGCTTGCTTGTATATATTTGTTTGCATGTAATCTCCTGCATTAGATTGTAAGCTCCTTGAGGGCAGGGACTGTATTTTGCCCCTTTTTGTATCCCCAGTGCTTAGCATCGTGCCTGGCACACAAAAGCCATTTAATAAATGTTTATTGATTGACTAGAATTCATATAGCTCTTCCTACTTTTCAGGCAGCTAGGTGGCACAGTGGATGGAGTGCCTCAGATACCTACTGGCTATGTCACCCTGTGCACATAAATTAACCTCTGCCTCAGTTTCCTCATATGTAAAATGAGGAAGATAATAGCACCTACTTCACAGGGTTGCTGTGAGAATAAAATGTTGTAATATACATAAAACACTTTGAAAACTTAAAACCCTATGTAAATGCGAGCTATTCAAAGAACTTTGACATCAGTTCTCTTGTGCAGTCAGAGCAACATCCTTGAGAGATGGTTGGATTAGAAGGGTGTTATTCCCATTAGGAGATGGAGAAACAGAGGCCCAGAGAGGTAAAAAGGCTTTACTCGAGGTTCCCCAGCTCAAGAGGGGAAGAGCTGGGATGGATATCCAAGCCTCCCTATCCCCTAGTCCAGTCTTCTTTCTGTTGTGCCCTGGTGCCTTACATATCAGTAACACCTTACTCTACCGCACATCCCCTCTGCCAATCATGCTTTCGAGCCCCTAATCCCCATGCTTCTGCACTGCCCCAGCAGGCCTCAGCTCCTGCTCACCTCCCGGCATTCTTCACAAAGCCCAGGTCAGCAAGAACCACGTCACACAGTTCACAACGGAAGCACTCCGGGTGCCAATTGTTGTTCATTGCTTTGATGACACGGCCAATAATGAATTCACCTAAAAAATTAAAAATTGGATTTGAGAGGGAAAGAGATGCACTCACTCCTACCTGCCAGGGAAGAAACAATTTCACTTGTCCTATATTTTCTTATTGCTTTGCCAAGTTTGTTCCAATGCACTATTCCAGGAAATGAAAAATAACCTCCAACGGGGAAAATAAATCTGCTTTCTAAAGCAAGTGCCAAGAACACAACTGTGCTCTGTGTATGCGTGTGCCGTCTCTAGGTTATGTTTTCTTCTTCTCTCGAAGCTGGCCCTCCATGGTATTGTGAGGTTTGACTCTGGACCCTGCCACCTTCCCTATCAGGAGCGGTATAGCCTCACTCCTCCCCTCTTGGCTTCTTCCTGAACTGCAGAGAACTATCCTAAGTCACATTCCCTCAGAGATTTGTTCTCAGCCGATAATGGTTTAAGATAAGGCTAGCGTAAGCAGCTGAGTGGCTCAGTGGACAGGAGTCAGGAAGACCTGAGTACAAATCCAGCCTCACTCATTTAGTAGCTGTGTGACCCTGGGAAAATCACTTAATTTCTGTTTACCTTAATCTACTGAAGAAGGAACTGGCAAACCACTCCAGTATCTTTGCCAAGAAAACCCCATGGACATTATTGGCATGAAATGGTCCATGGGGTCATGAAGAGTCGGATATGACTGAACAATAAAATGTTGCTAGCAGACTCAGAAAAAGGGTGCAAGGAGAGAAGAGGGTGTCTATTTTTTAAGATGTAATTCTCTCATAGCTGAATATCTGGTACCATAACAAACAATGGGGGTGACTCTTCAGGTTCCCTTCCCTCACATCCCTCAAATATCACCTGCTCAAATGCTAGCCCTCACTTTCCTCTAAGAGCAAACCCCTTTCCCCTTACTATCCCACCCTCCCCCTGCTTCATAAAATAAAGCCTTTGGGAGTAAAGAAATGGCAGATTTGGCTTGAGTCTGGCCTTACCACATGTCCCACAGCAGGGAGCAAACAGCATTTGGAAGTCATGTTCACAATATTTTCGACCTTCGTACTGTAAGCAAAACACAGAGAGAAGACGTGAGAGGAATGCCAGGCTGCTGGGGTTACTTTATTTTCTGATTCATCTATTATAGATTATATTTCCATAGCACTTCACCTAAAGACCCCAGGTTCTGTACACAAGCCTTAAACAGGCAACACTGAAGATCATTCAAGTAAAAGCAGGAAACACAAGGAAAGAAACAGAAATGGGAGGAACAGAAAAAGGGTAAAAGAAAGGAAGAGGGGAAAGCTAATGATGATAATTTCAGCCCTTTAACAAATAGAAGGCAATCTGTGGCAAATATTAGTGTCAATGTTCTATGTAACAAACAAACAAATAATGATTATTAAGTACTTAATAATCATTATTTGTATTAAGTACTTAGTATTAAGTACTTAATATTAAATACTTAACACTATACTAGGCCCTGGGAGAGAGAGAGAGGTAGGAGAAGACCAAGTCCCTGTCATCAGGCAGTTTATGATCTAGTAGGGAAATAAAATATAAAGGCAGAAGACAAATATTTAATATCACATAAATACATTAGAGAGGTGTGAATCAAAATGCTAGGTGAAGAGAAAGGAAAGCTTCGTGGAGCAGGTAATATTTGAGTTTAATTTAAGGGATGAGTAGAAATTGAAGGTGGCACAGTGGTAGAGTGCTGGGCCTGAAATCAGGAAGACTCATCTTCCTGAGTTCAAATCTAGCCTCAGACACTTACTAACTGTGTGACTCTGAGCAAGTCACTTAACCCTGTTTGCCTCAGTTCCTCAACTGTAAAATGAGCTGGAGAAAGAAATGGCAAACTGCTCCAGTATCTTTGCCAAGAAAATCCCAAATGGCGTCATGAAGTGTTGGACACAACTGAACGGACTGAACACCAAAAGGGATTGAAGTGATAAATATGGCGGTGGGGTGAGAGGCCAGACATTATAGCCATGGCGGTAAGTGGAAGGAAAGCGCAGGATTTGGGGTTACAGAGAGTTGTCCAGTTTATCTGGGGCAGAAGGTGCATGGAGGACAATAGACAAGCCTGGAAAGGGAGTGTGGAACAGATGGTGGCACTACTAACTGGGTGAAAAGCATAGTTCCAATTGAGTTTTAGACCTGGAAGAGACCTTAGCATCCCCCTTTGGTGACACCTCCCTACATTTAAAAATGTTTCTTTTTTTCCTGTTTCAGTTTTTTACAACTTAAAACAAATTATTTATAAAATAAATACAAAGAACGTGATTGGCTCAGCTCAGTACACAGAGGTTTTAGGTGTTCACTTTATCCTCCACACAATACTGTTCTGTCTCAGAACCCTCAGCTGCTTAACTTTTCTATGATGGCAAAAACAAAAGACCACTGATTGCCAAAGGAAGAAGTCTCAGACGTTCTAGGAGTGAGGACTTCAAGGCAGAGATGCCCAGAGGAGAAAAGCAGGACAGACCAAGCAGCCAGTGAGGAAAAGGGGTGAGAGACTAAGAATAAACCAGCATGGGGCAGCCGAAGGGTTAGAACAGCAGCAGTCCACATCCCAAAGGGAGCGTGCAGGGTAAAGCCCCAGCAGCAGGCCAGGGCACCACAGCAAATATCCTCACCTCATAGAAAAGTCCATCTGGGAACTGACGGAAGCACTGGGCACAGACGAAACAATTTTCATGATACAGCTCCCCGTTGCTATTCACGATCCTTTCAGATGGATCAAAACGGGCCTGACAGCGCTGGCATGTGGCATTAGCCAGGGCATCAGACATGTTACTGAATAAATGGGGGAAAAAATCAGAGTCAGGTTCTGGATGGCGTCCAAAAATGATAACGTGCTAGGGAGCAGGGGGAGCAAAGTTTAGAGCAACAACGCTCTCATTCTTTCTGGCAAGAACTTTTTTCTGTAATCCAGGACTCACCCTTGGGCCAGGGAGAGAAAATGTCCCTAGTCCCGGAGTTTTTCTGTGCTTTATCACTTGTTTGAGACCGCAGACACTTGGAACTTCATATAACAGCATTTGTGGCCCTATAATTTTACAGTTCAGATATGCCCGTCCCAATCAGGTACAAAGCCAGAAAGTGAGTCAGGAGTCTAGACTGTCTTCTAAAGAAAAGTCTTAGCAGGGGGCAGCTAGGTGGCGCAGTGGATAGAGCACTGGCCCTGGAGTTAGGAGGACCTAAATTAAAATCCAGCTTCAGACACATGATACTCACTAGCTGTGTGACCCTGGGCAAGTCACTTAACCCCAACTGCCTGGTCAAAAACAAAAACAAAAACAAAAACAAAAACAAACAAACAAGCAAAAAAAAACTCTTAGAGCAGACAGAACATGGGACTTGGAATCAGGAATACCTGAGTTCAAGGTCTACCTCTGACACTTATTAGCTGTGTGACCCTGGTCACTTCAGTACTCTTTGCCTCAATTTCCTCATGTATAAAATAGGAATATTAACAGCACCTATCTCACAGGATTGTTGTGAGAATCAAATGAGATAACACATATAAATCACTTTGCAAACTTTAAAGTGTTACATAATTGTTAATTATTATTGTTTGTTGTTGTTGTTGTTGTTTTGACTAAGCAATGGGGTTAAGTGACTTGCCCAGGGTCACACAGCTACTGTCAAGTGTCTGAGGTCAGATTTGAACTCAGGTCCTCCTAACTCCAAGGCCAGAGCTCTATCCACTTGCCACCTAGCTGCCCCAGCTATTATTGCTAATAATTTCAAATGAATATAGGAATTCCACATCAGATCAGCCCCTAAATCCTTTGAGCCCAGAATTTTGTCTCTGACAATGTCATCATTCATTCAACAAGCGTTTATTAAGCACCTGCTGTATGCCAGGTACTCTTGTAGGTAAGTTATTGGAGATACAAAGAAAAAAACCAAACAGTCCCTATCCTTCTGTTGATTCTAGTCTATTGAGAAGGAACTTGTATACAGGTAAGTAAATACAAAATGTAGACAAAGGAAAGAGTAAGTAATTTCAGTGAATGGATAAAGACAGGCCTGAATTCTAGAAAAAGCTAAGGACTCTAAAGGGTAGAGATGAGGAGGAAGTACATTCCAGACACGGGACCAGCCTGCACCAAGTCACAGAAAGGAGATGGACTGTCCCCAAGGGGGCAGCCTGGGGAGGCTGTGGTTTGTCCACACTTAAAAGGTTAGCGATGTGGCCCCACATATCCCTTTTCCCCTTACCAGTTCATCCTCCGGGCTATCATGGCCCCTCTTGAACATAGTAGCATTTTCAGCCTGTGTCCCCTCTTGGGTTGAATCTACTTTCACCAATACCTTCCACCTCATCCCTCTCCTCTCCCCACCCCCACAAAAGAAAAAAAAGTGATGAATGAGATTGCATTTTAAAACTACCGTCTCTTTCTTCCCTCAGTAGCTGCCAAACAGAAGAACAAGTGATCAACAGAGAAGAAAAGTCGTGTTGGGGGTACCCACCAGTTTAGCAATGAGCACGACATACTCAGGGTTTGGTTTTGGTTTTTGTTTTTTCTTTTTCATGTAACTCAGGGAAATCAGAAATAAACAGGAAATCCCGTAACTGAAATCCGAATTGCCTGATTCAATGACCGCTGGAGCTGATGACATAATATAATTCCCAGAGCCCAGATACAGGCTTTCAGACTGCTGGTTAAAGCACACCATCCTCTGGCCAAGGGCCCAGGCCTTATTGTTATTGCTTTTCCCACCTCCCCATATCTACATCTTTCTCCATCCTTCAAGGCTTTGCTCAGATCCCTCCACATTCATGAAATGGTCTCCAACCACAATAGCCTACAGGGATCTCTCTTTTCTCAGAACTCCTATGACATTTAAAGTCTTTAACATACAACCTGGAGGCAGCCATGCTTGCCCGGAATGCAGAACTGCTCTCAGAGTTAGGAAGAGCTGGATTCAGATTCTTCCTCTGATATAGACTGGGCAAGTCAAGTGACCCTGGGCAAGTCACTTGGCCTCTTACTGCCCTAGGCAAAGGAGTCAAACTCCTAGCTTGCAAGTGAGCAGTGACTTTCCAGCATGAGGGAACCAGATTTAAAATGTCTTTGGGAAATGTTTAACAATAAATAAAAATAACACAACATAGATAGTGTTAATTTGGGGTTTTCTAAGTCGACATGCATCCCCACCGAATTCATTTCTATTGACACCACTGCTCTAAGCAACTCTCTAAGACTGTTGTTTGCTGAGAAAGTGAACCAAAGACCTTAGCGCAATTTTAAGCCAATAAACTACATTCTGACACCTTAAAAATCACAGGTTCAGAAACTTTCCTTAAGTAACAGTTTAGCACTGAAATGCTGTGCTAATTTGGTATCCTTCAGTTGGATTATAGGCACCTTAAGGCCCAAATATTATGTCTTTTATTTCATTGCATATCACAAAGCCACCTAAACAGAGCCACATCCATAATGGGTACATGATGAATACTTGTTAATTGACTGACTCCTGTCTACTTCTGCTCTCACCCTAACCCTATCACTAGGGGTTAGTTATGACCTATTATTTATGTTATATTAACCCTTCTTCCACACTGTTTCCAAAAAGTCTTCCTAAGATAAGATTCCACTATCACTCAGCTTCTCAAATGCCTTCTATGTCTCTATATTACCTACGGGAAAAATGTAAACTCCCCAATCGAGCATTTAAAGCTGTGCATAAAATTGTTCTAGTCTATCTCTCCAACCTTACTTGTCTTTAATTTTCAATGCACATTCTTCATTTCAGTGAAACTCAATTTATTAACTGTTTTCTAAACTGGAAGAATGGGTAGCTAGGTGGTGCAGTGGATAGAGCCCTGGGCTTGGAATGAGAAAGACTCATCTTCATGAGTTCAAACTTGGCCTCAGACACTTATTAGTTGCATGACCCTGGGCAAGACACAAAAATGAGCAGGAGAAGGAAATGGCAGACCACTACAGTATCTCTGCCAAGAAAACCCCAAAGGAGGTCACAGAGAGTCTGACACAACTGAAAAATGACTTAACAACAACATTATCTATGTTAAAGTGACCCCACATTGGTAGGGAGTGCATTATGTGGAGTACTCATATTCCAAATGGTATGGGAGGTAAAGCAGAATTGTGTCATACAAAGTATATGATCAGGGCTTTCTTCTAAAAGGCCCTTCCCTTCCAGTTTCACATAATTCTAATACGAAATTTAATGATGCAACTGAAAATTTAAAATAAACAACTACCAGGAAGTTAGAGGCCCCTCAGGCTCAAACATGCTTCCATTGAACACAACATGAATAAAGCTATTCATTCATCATGGCCCCCTTCCCATGACATGGGACCTTCTATGTGTTATCACCAAAGTATGTGGAAGGGGGCCTTCGAAGACTCCAAATCAGGGAAAACATGTCAGAGAGATAAATCAAAGGGGTTCATCAAAGCACAAGGCACTCACAGAGAGAACTGCAGTCTGGGGATCCCAACGTGCTCCCTTCCAGCTTGGCTTTACAATAGCCAACAGCAGTTATGTGAAGGGAACAAGGGTGGAAGAAATGAAAATTCCAAGCCCTCCCCCCTCCTTCACACATTCCAGTAGGGAACAGAGAATACAATGTCTGTCTGATTATCCCCCAAGGAGAAAAATGCTACTCCCCTTTCTCTGCCCCCATTCCAAAGTGGACAACAGGCAAGATACAGCCAAGGGCATGCCTGAGCGCCAGGCAAGTCAAACCACCAAGACATAACACTATGACACTTCCCCCTGCCTCAACTCTCTAAAATGCCACTGGTCTCTGCAGCCAACATTGTCAATTAAGTTTCACAGTGGCTACTGAAATTTACAATATTGATGTGTGTATGTGTGTAAGGGTTCTTTAGCCCCTGCTTGCATCAAACAAGCAGGGAAACTGGATAAGCTTATAACCCAAGTTCTTCTGCCATATCTACTTGTCCCAGAACAATAAAGCTATGGGGAGTGAAGGAAGGGGAAGGTCTAGGGGTTAAGTATGTCTGTGGCTCAATCAATCAACAAGCATTTATTAAGCTCCTACTATGTACAGGGCACTGTATTAATAGCCAGGGTTTCAAAGACAAGTCAAACAGATTCTGTACTCAAAGAGCTTGCACACTAATGGATTGTAATAGTTTACTATCCTACTGAAGAGTGTGAAGTTACGTGTTTCTGAAAGGCTATCTCTGACATGAGGCAGAATTGTTCCAACTACAAACAGGTAATTAGATCGGGGCACATCAGCAAAGGTCCTTCTGTATGTTTCCATGATGAGCAGAAACAGCCCCTGGACCAAATGGAAGAAGTTATGGTCAGAACTGTTCTCTAATGATTCTGCAGCTTTTCATGTAGAAAGAGCCTCCATATGCAACTCAATCTGCATCTAAAGTCAAATATGAATATTTTTGTAAGGATATAGGGAGGGAAGAAAGGAGGATCCACCATCACACCAATTAACACAATCACAGAAAGCCCAAATACCTCAAATGAATCAATCAGCTTAGTACCTATTCTTAAGGAATTTGCCTAAAAATATGTCAATAAATTCTTAACCAATTAGAACAGATTATAATCTCTCTGTCTCCTCCCCTTCCCATCCTTCTCCCCCCCCCCCACCTCCATTCACCATGCCATAGGAGAGACTGGACCAGTAGCAGACAGGGCATCCTGCTGGGATTAGACAACTGGACCAGGAGGAGTGAATGCATCTAGCCAGGAGTGAGAATAACTCAAACAAAGGTGGCTTCAGGGAGTGATCCATCTTGGTAGAGAAGACCCTGGCTATGGACTGA